TTAAATTCTATTGAAAGTGGGACATTGGAACATCACATCATTGTATACTTTTTAGTCTAAATGAAATTTCTTGTCAAAACAAATATTGAGGTTAACCTGTTAGGACACTACACGTGGCTACCCCAAGTGAAATGGGAAAGTGGGATATTGTAGCAAACATAAACTCTAGGTGCACTCTTAGACTTAAATTCTTAACCTTATCAACCAAAAAGATTTACCTACACGTGGCTGATTTCCAAATTGAGGGGGAAAAAAACAGAATGAACTAAATCCAAATGAGTTTGAGATTATCTACAATATTATATTTGCAATAGAAGATTCATTTGCCGTCACTTGTCTACTATAATATAGTTTATCTTCCAAAAGAAATCCTCCAATAGAATAAAAATTCTACCTTATTTTAATATAAATTATGCTTAAATAAAAGACGGCCTAATTAGTCAACAGTTTTTGCCGAGAATCTCTAATGAAAGGAAATCATATTAATTCTTAATTCTATTTAATCTTGTTTTCTTTCAATTAGGTCTAACTTGATTTGATCCAAAACAACTTTTATCGAGTTGAAAAAAACTAATTAATTACAAGCTACAAAATGAGTTCAATATTGATATATTAAATCTTGGTCTATAAAAATCTAATTATTAGATCCAAATAAAACAAGGAATTTAAACTTATTTTATTTTAGTTACATATTTTTTTTTCCAAAATAATAAAATGTACTATATAAAACAAATAGCTTTTGTTTTTCAATTTTTGGGGCATTTCAGTGTACATATAGCAAAATCCATTGAGAAATTATGATTCTATACAGGTTGGGGTTCACAGGGTCTTTATGGGCAACGATTGACTTTTTTTTCATTGAGAGATGCTAGGCTTACAAGGTTCACAAGTCCCTGTCAAGCTACACACATGCGTGAGGTCCACGTAATTTTTTTTTTTTAATACATGTGGGGCTTCTGCACAGTGAGGGGTCTTGCAAAACCCCCGTGAATAATGCCCAGTACTCTTTTTGATTCGTCGGAGGCAAAAAAAGGAAAAAAAGGGCACCATACCGGTGGTGTAAGTAATCAATAAAGCTACACGTACAGAATGTAGTTTACAGAAGCCATACAGAAATTCAAAAAAATGGGACATGTCTCCGTGTCAGTGAAAGGAAAAGGAAACGACTGCATGGCTTGGAGGAAAGTGTTAATAAAATTCATTAAATTATTTATGTTTTTGTCTTAAATTTCGGGCTCATTACGAAATATCAAACGAAGTCGGAATATTACATTTTTAATAACATTTTGAAGTACTCACGGCCTAGTATTTCACGTTGTTATGGTGCGCGAAATGACCAACCATAGTAAATGTTACGGCGTGTCAAAATAAGCCGTTCCAAACTAATATTTCGAGAATTTTGATAATAAGCTAATTTTAAAATTTTTTCAATGATTGTACGCTAATTGAATCCATAAATCTTCTATATCCTCTCGAAACTCATTTCGAGAACTATATCATAGACAAATCGAATGATCTAAATGAATATCGAAAACAGTTAAACATACATCATACACGTGTGTTAACAAGATGCGTATAACTCTTTTTTTTTTAAAATCAACTATTTTATTAATGTTTATTATTTTTTCGCGACAAATTTCTCAATATAATTTATATAATTTTATTTGAAAAATTTACATGTAATATGATGTCAATTTTTTTTTTATGTAAAAATTCCTAATAAAATTATTATTACTTTGTATGGGTTATAAAGTTACTGATCATCATCATTTTATATAAGTAGTGTAACAATTATAAATAATACATACAAATAATCGTTATAAATATATTTTTAAATTCAGGGAAATGATATGTTTCCGCACGTTCTCAAATTCAAAAAATTTTAATTATGTCCATTTTTTCAATTTAGTGATGTTAATATTTGAGAAGTGATTTCGTGAAAAAGTGAATTTTTTTTTTTTTGTATAGTAAAAATGTAGGAGAATTATAGATCAAAATGTAGGAGAATGTATACACCATTTTCAGATATAAAAATAATCAAGATGAAAATGTAGTATAAGAATTTATAACCTATATAAAGTGATAATGATTTTATTAGGAATTTTTACACACAAAAAAAAAATATATAAAATTGACATCACACCACATATAAAATTTTCTAATAAAATGATATAAATTATATTGAGAAATTTGTCGCAAAAAAATAATAAATATTAATAAAATAATTGATTTAAAAAAAAGAGTTATGAGTATCTTTTTAATACACATGTTTGACAAACGTTTAACTGTTTTTTATATTCATTTAGATCATTCGATGTGTCAATGATATAGTTTTTGAAATGAGTTTCGAAATGATATAGAAGATTTTTGGATTCAATTAGCGTACAATCCTCAAAGAATTTTTAAAATTAACTTGTTATCGAAATTCTCGAAATATTAGTTTGGAACGACTTATTTTGACGCGCCGTAATGTTTGCTACGATTGGCCGTTTTGCGCACCATTGAAGATGTAAAATACTAGACTGTGAGTACTTCAAAATAATATTAAAAATGTAATATTTCGACTTTGTTTGATATTTCGTAATGAGCCCGAAAATTAAGACAAAAACATAAATAATTAAATGAATTTTATTAACACTTTCCTCCGAGCCATGCAGCCATTTCCTCTGACACGGCAACACGTTCCACTTTTTTGAATTTTGTATGGCTTTTGTGAGATACATTCTGTACATGTAGCCCCTCAACATTAATAAAGCTGAATGTCGGATTTTGAAAATAAAATAGCCCGAAGTAATCTAATAATTGAGACAAGCTGTCAGATTATGAGTAAATTAAGGAAGAGCATCTCCCCTTGGTCCAAAATGAATGATAAGTAGAAGTTGGGGCAAGCGCCAAGCAATGGGTGTTCCCCTCCCATGAAACATGGACTCTAGCACATGATCAACCACTATTATTCTGCCCCACTAGATTCATTTCTTCTATGACTCCTTTCATGTCTTGATTATATATATTGTTTATTAAATAGGAGAAGTCGAGCACCGGATCAACTAGCTTCGTTTAGGCTCCACTGCGTTCATTACTTATATGATTTCCTTTCGCCGTATTGATTATATATAGAGGTATTGAATGAGACAAACTGAGTCATTCAACGAGCTAGCTCGAGCTCTCTTGTGAAGCAAGTCAACTCACCTAAAGAAAATTGAGTTCGACTTGTCCCACAAGCTTGCCTTATGAGATCGGTTCACCATTTTATTATTTTTTTCCTCAAATTTGCACTTTTAACCCAACCTAAGTCTCGTTTTTCGAGCAACACGTGGGATTCAGTGTTTGGTTCTTGCTCATAATTCGATGGGATGCAAACCGAGCCTTTGAATGGCTCACACCACTTTAGCATCTTGGCAAGTGAATATTTTAATTCATAAATATTTGAAGCGTAGTTTATATTGTTTTTAAATAGGACGGGTCCAGCACTTGATCAGCTAGCACCATTTCTGCTCCACTACATTCATTACTTGTATGATTTCCTGTTGTCGTCTTGATTATGGGGGTGTTTGATAGACATTTTTATATAAAAATGTATTTTAGAATAGTAAATTAATGTGAAATTTGTGGTTAAAAAATAAGGAAAATTTTTTGATTTATGTAAAATATTATTTTAAAAAAGAATGTGGGGTTGAAAAGAAAAGAGAGAAAAATACATTTTGAAGAAAATGACTACCAAACGGGACCTTTATATAGAGGTATTAAATAGGAAGAGCTTTCTTGTGTTGCGAACCAACTCACCTAAAAAAAATTGAATTCAACCTGTCCCACATGCTTGCCTTCTGAGATAGGCTTACCATTTTATTATTTTTTTCCCCTCAAAATTGCAAACACCGTATGTGAAAATTATGCTAATTTTTTACCCGTTCTTCCACTCGAGCCTCTGTTTGTGAGTGACATGTTGGATTCAATGTTTGGTTCACGCTCATAACTCAACACACAACTTTCCATCCCTATTTATATATTTGAGATTAGCTCCACTCAACTTGATAAAATATTCGTATCAAATTTTAGAGGAACTCTCGTCTTAATTTTGTATTTTGACAAGTGAGCTAATTTTATCTAATCAACTTCCACTTGTCAAAATAAATTGGAAAATTTTAGTAATCAGTTCAGAACAAATGTTAGATGGTCCCAGCTGAAATTTAAGGGGAAGTTGGGTGACCTTTCGTGTTTTTTGCACAGTTTTGATTTACAAGAAAGGGTGTCAATTACTTGATGAGGACAATCCAACATTCTTCAACGCTAAGAAGTAAGAACCCACCAGTTAAAATCGAAACCCTCAACAATTTTTTTTTTTTTTTCACCAATTCAACCTTGGTGAATCGGTTCGACTGTTGGAATTTTAACCTTTTCCGAGTCAATGTTCGAATTTGATCTTTAAAACATCGTTTCTAATAGTCCCATGATTAAGTTTTTCTTCACAATGCTAACCTTAGGTACATGAAATTTTATCATGTCCTTGTCTCTGTTTTCCGAATTCAGATCCATAGATCTGGTCAGTTACTTCCATCCTTCTTGACGCCCCCCCCGCCACCACCCCCCTTCCAGGTGTACCTGCAAAATATGCAATTAAAAGAAGTGATTATAAAGATAAAAGAAGACAAAATAAACCAAAAGAGACAGAAATTCAATAAATAAAAAAATAAAAAAATGAAGATTACCCCAATTCACCTTTTGGATTGGAAACAGAATGCTGATGCATAAATCCCAGATTTTGAAAAGCACATCTCTGCATAATTGCAAAACCACATACGAATATCACAATCCAAAAAAAAAATAATTAAAAAATAATAATAATAATAAAATATATATATATATATAAAATAAGAAATCAACTCAAAAAATTATAATAGTATGTTTGTTTCTATTTGTTCTTGAATTAAGCTAGTATTTAATTCAATTAATTCATGTTATTTTAAATTGACAAATTCTGATTACCGTTTTTGATGAAAAAATAAAATAAAATAAAAGATAAATTGAGAAAGTAAAATCATTCATTCAGAAGGCCGTTTTCTACAATATAACTCCATAGCTACGGTTTCTAAACTGGTATCTTCAACTTCCGCAAAACCGCGGTTCAACCGCACTTATCCATCACGGCTATCAACTCGCCGCGTCGAGTGAACTGTACAAAACATACGCCGAATTATAGAATTCACTATTGAGCTTTTGACATGATCGAGAGTCGGCTTGGCCGCGGCTGGAAATCGTCACGGCGGCGGAGATGATGTGACGACGGGCGAATCAAAGCAGCAAGAGCTCTCTTCACTAAATCTCCTTCAACGGTTCCGATTCTCACCAAAGAATTCGTCATAGCCGATCTCCGCATATTCAAGTGGTGACTCGACTGAAACGACGTCTGGCTATCACTGTTGTACCCACGGCTCCGATTGTCGTTCTTGTGTAAACTGCACCGGAAGGACCCCGGGTGCGTAGTAGGGGAACACATACACGTCTTCTTGGGACCCGAATTGAACTGACGGGCACGGGTGCCCTGATTTCCATACCGGTTATGAGAAGATGCGACCGAGCGGTTGTGTGAGGTAGAGAACCTTACGGTGGGAGAAGGGGAAACGGATCTGCGGACATTGACGCGGGTCGGGCTAGAAGGACGGGTCAGAAACGACTCGGGACGGGAGTATGAAGCCGGGGAGGTGGAGATTGAGGAGGAGCAGAACCGACCCGATGGGGATAAGGAGCGTTGGAAGTTGCTATGAAGAGTTGTACCCTGCGATCTGGTTCTTGATGATGACGCTTCCATCGATTGTACCATAGAGAATTAACAAATACCTTTTTAACTAAAAATGAGAAAGTAAGATAGATTGTGTTTTTGGGTCTTTATTTTGGCAAACCTAATCAACACTGAAGCACGGTTTATATCGGAGATGGAGGCGATGGCATACTCTCGTAAATAATTGCAATTGTAGGGAGTTTTGAGGAAATACGACGTAGAAAGGCCGTTGGGTCGAGGTTTCCAGTGGGTTGAAAAGACCACAAAAAGCTATGTGCTGTTAGATGTGACATGACCAACGCGCTCGCCTTTTGTGACGTTCACGCTCAATTGATATTAAAGCCACAGTGAAGTTATTTGTTCACACGCTGGACATTTGAGGGTGGGCGAGTAACTATGCAAACGCCGATTGTGGCGTTAGATTTTGGGTCGTTTTTAATTAACTGACACACGTATAATGATATTTATTTTGTGTCCTAATTAACTGAAGAAATTACGGAAATACCTTTTCCTGTGTTTAGAGGCCAAGAACTGTAAATATCGATTTGACAAAAATACCCTCTATTTAAATTACATTTCAATTTGTATTGGCGGGTATCTAGAATTTTTTTTTTTTTTTTTTTTTTTTTTTTTTTTTTTTTTCCCCCTTTTGCCCCCCTTTTTTTTAATTTTTTTTTTGCCCCCGTTTGGCCCCGTTCTTTGCAAATTTTAATGGTTAGAATAATATTTTTTTGAAAAATGTGTTGTGATTTTTTTATTTAATTATAATATTATTTTATAAAAAATTGTGTGGTTGAAAAAGAAAAAGAAAAAAAGAAATAAGAATGAAAATGGGGGGCAAATTATTAAACTGAAGATTGTGATTTATACGTGTTTGGTTGGCAGATATTTATTTGGAAATGAAAAATATCTTTAAAAAAATAAAAATTGTACAATTTAAGAATAAGAAAAAATTATGAATTCATGTATAAAATAATTTTATTGGATGTGTTTAAAATTGAAAATGAGTTTGAGAAAAATTAATTTTTAAATAAGTTGTACCAAACAACTGCTGTAGTAATTAGCAACATTGTTTTCAACCATAAGGAAAAGGATTTGATTTGATTATGAATGTCGTGGTTAAGATGTCGAATTAATCATATTTATTTCTATATTTGTCCTTGTTTGAGCTTCATTTTTTTATCAAAACACATTCTTCAACAGTGATTTTAACCTATTTCAACCACAAATTTTTAATAAAATAATATTACACCTAAACTCAAAGCTTCTCTTTATTTTTTTAACCATACATTTTCCATTATAACATAAAATGCATTTTAAAAAAAATTGGAGCAATCCATTTTCCAGTAAACCGAGTTCCACACTCTTTATTGTAAGGACCTTGCTTGATGTACAAGATTTTTTTATTAGGACTTTTAGAGGTACACATTTAGCTAATTCTCATTGGAAGTTGAAAAAAAAAGGAAAAAAGAGGGTAAAAACTGTCAATACAGGACTGCCATTTCAACCCTGCAAAGTGCAAACTGCACCCTGATAATTTGCCCTGGGGCAAAATTCTTGTAGTAAACAAATTTTTTAGTTATACTACAATAATTGTCTACAATTTTAAAGTAAACAAATGATTTGATTCTTCATTTTAAATTAAAATCTGCCACGAGTAGATATTAAGTTGATACTAGGGCTGTAAGCAAAAATCGCAAAATCGAAAAATCGAATCGAAACCACATTTTAGAAACCGGCGGTTTGGTGCCACGTGGACCCGGTCAACGAAATGATTTTGATCCAAACCAAACCGGTCAAAATGGTTTGGTTTAGGTTTGAGAATTTTAATTACGGTTTAAAACCAAACCGAATCGGCGAAAAAATATATAAAAATAAAAAAAATGAAAAAATGAAATTTTTTGAAAATTGATCCAAATATGTAAAAATTCAATAGTTTTATCATTTGTGGGTATTTTTGTCAATTCCTAATTTTCTAATACAGATATATTATTATTATTATTATTATTATTATCCAATAATCGTAATATATATTTAATAATTTCAAGACTAATATAATCTATCAAAAGCATTTTTCCTCTTCAAAATTTAGATGAACTCTAATCGACACCCAACACAGTTTTGAGCCACCGGCACCATACACTTCTTTTTCAGATTTTTCACGCCTCTTCAAAGTTAAATTGAAGTCCATTATACCAAATTGGAGACAAAGATATCCTAGACCTTTGGTGATAATATTTGCTACAAATAAAGTTTCAGATCAATAATTTTTTGGAGCAAACTAAAGTAAGAATTTGAAATTAAATGTGTTTCGTAACATCATACAAACGTAAACTTATGTAATTGTTATATTTAGATATTATAAACAATTGTTTTATTATTGTGGTTGGTTATTTCCTTTATTTAATCAGTATTCGTTTTTTCAGATATGATGATCACGAGGTCTTGTTGGAAATAATTATGTTTTTTGGACCTTATATCTAGTTTAGTAGACTTCTATTGTAACGTTATTGTATCGTTATTAGCCTAAAAAAAGTGAAAAAAATGAAAAAAAATTATGTTTTAGTTTATTGTGATTTTACTTTGATTTAGTTGATATTTAAATTTATAGTAGATATATTTAGCCCCTATTTGAGCCATATTTTTCATATCATCATAATGAGAAAATTGACTATTGTAGAGGAGGTTGGGTCCCACACATGAAATAGTAGGTCAACAAAAGCAGCTGGACTTGTGAAATAACGGTCTAAATTTTCAATTTTTTGTTCTAAAATTTGGTTCAAACAGGGGGCTTAGTTTGTTTTAAAATTATTACTAGTGAGATATAAATATATATTAAATTCAATAAATTAATGATATAAAAATAGACGGGCAAAAAAATATACGGTGAAACCGATGGTTTAAAATCGGACCAAACCGTTAGGTTTAGGTTTGAGTTTTTTTCAAACTGTTTAAAATGGTTTGGTTTAAGTTTGGGTTTTTCTCAAACCGTTTTAAACGGTTTGATTTGAAAATATGTCAAAAATCGGTAAAACTGGACCGCTTACACCCCTAGTTGATACAAGTGATTTGATTCTTCACTTTCACTCAATTCGGATGAATGATTTCATTGCTTAAGTTAATTATCATGCCTAGTCTTTAATTGAGGTTATCTCATGCCTTCTTAGTAGTCGCAGTGTGGAGGTTCGATTTTTGAAATATGGAATTGGACTCCTTGTAGGCACAGTGTACAGGCTGCTCTTATTCCCTAACCTGTTGGTGCACATCCCGCGATTTACCTCCCTCACAAATCTCTAGGGCGGAACTGTGGGGACCCTCAATTAAATTATCCCGCCTAGTCTTCTTGGCTATTTCATTGAGCGTTGTTCGGTTTTCATTTTCCAAAATTCACTTTTCTTTATATTTAATTTCAATCACACATTTTATAAAATACAAGATATTTATTATTTTTTAATCACACAATTCGTTAACTATTATCAAAACCCACTAAAAATATAATTTTTAACCAAATCAAAAAGGGCTACATAAGTATAAATACTCATTTCATGAATAAACGCTTGTATCAATTCGCATGATAGTGATGACACATATTTAATTCACTACATAAATATTATACATTTATTATATAAATGTTATTTAGGAATATAAATTTAGGTGATAATGAATTTCCATATTTATCGTCTTCATTGAATAAAAATTTATGGCAAATCTCAATTCTCACTGTCATCTTGACTACTGCTCCAGACATCATTAGATTTATGAATAATTTTATTTAACTCCATTGGAGTTGCAACCTTATTCTAGGTGGCGTTAGCATGGCATTAAATGATATGTTGAATTAGTATCATTTAATTTCACATTTCATCCAATCTATCATCCAACGCTATCTAAACTGGGGTTGTAACCACGATGAAACTATATAGCATTATTTTAGATTTGCAGGTCTGACTCGTTGGCACTCCTAATCTCACTGTCATCTTGACCACACTGGACACCATTATAGTATTATTCTCTTGTTATTTACTTGTGCTTGTTTAATGTATTTGGTTAAAGTTAGCCCAACTAAATTTTTTTTCATTTTAGTCCATTCCTTGATTGGTTCTTGATTAATTCAAATTCAAATTAAGTAATATATTTATTTCGACGGTGAAGTAAGAATCAATTACAAAATCCATTAGATCATGATCTTATCAATATATTTCTCAACTTTGACGCAATTTGTGTTTGAAACAAATATTTTTTTTATCTTGGGAGTTGGGCAAATGACGCTAGCATACTATCTGCCATCCAAATAGGGATGTCAACAAATTGAGTCGAGTCGGCCAGTAAGTCGAGACTCGAAGTTCGAGTAAAAATGGTTCGAATTTTTTTTTAACTCGGCTAAAAAATCAAGGCTCAGGCTTTTTTTGAACCAAAAATGGGGCTTGACCTGAGCATTGACTCGATTCTTCCAAGCCATGAGCCGAGCCGGCTCGGGCTTTTCCCGGACCGAGCAACAAGCCGTCTGGGCGTGCGAGCTAAATTTACAAACTCAAGTACCAACGAGGAAAAGTTGGAAATTGCCAAATGTAATGGAGTATGTGGACCAACAAGCTGCACGCTTGACGAGTGGCTTCACTAGCACAGGGTCACTTGGACCGTGGCTTTGATTTTTTTTCACTCATTTGCCAAGTGAAAATTCTCTTTGATATTTTTTTTATCCCATTATTTTTCCCCTTTTACGACAATTAAGAGTCGCTATTCAACTTTGAACTGCATTCAAATATATATATTTTTTTCGAATTCTTATATTTGAAGTGTGAAAATCCTCAATCCTATATCCTATGTTTTTCAGATGATCATATTCTTTGTTGGATCCAAGGTAGTTTGCGATACATGGGTCGATGAATTTTGGTACAAGGGTTTACATCTTGATGTACATAATATTCAAGTGGTCTTTCATCATTGGCTGGTAGAAAAATAGCCTTTTCAATTAGTCATCGATGAGACGTCACTTGGACATCATGTACATCAGAGCGTACATGTAGAATAATCCTATGTTGATTGTGTACAGGGGTTCTCCAATAGAGACTTGCCTCGTCCAAGATTGCATCAAATCAAATTGACCTCATGGCCTTTTTGATAAT